AACACACACACACACACACACACACACACACACACACACACACACACACACACACACACACACACACACACACACATTATCATACTTTGCCACCACGTCTTGAGCCGGGCAGGTTGGCAGCGGGTCGTCTCCCCCTGTCGAAGTCGTCTGGTGGGAAATCCTCAGTCTTGTGTTTGAACTGCAGCAGCCACCGGAACACCACCTTGATCAGCTCGTGGGGGATCTCCAACATGTTCATGGGAACCGGAAGGACACGCCCCTTTGAGATGTAGTCCATGTAGAGGGCGCTGCGGGCGAATTTCCATTCGACGTCTGCCTCTTCCTATTTAGTCAAAGAGTTTACAGTTAAACTCTCAGGTTTAGTTTAGTTTTCGCAAAAGTTTTACTGCACTTGCAACACAAATAAGTTGTACAAACGCCGAAGAATAGAGAATTATGCTACTAGAGAGTAACATATAAAGAAAAGAAAGAGGAGAGATAAGGACAATAGATGTTTGATAAGAAAGAAGAAGCAAACTGCACAAGGGTGACCACCGGCCTCCCACCCTCTTCCCGTTACTGACAGAGAGGGTTATGGATTTACTAGTAACACTAAAAAGTTTTCAAGTAAATGTAAGTTGTTTTGTTTAAAAGCATTTTATATCGACACAACCTCAACAATCCGTACATGTGAGGATCGGTGCAAAAGTTATTATTATGGAAAGCATGAGTACACCATTGGTACGTATACTTTATTTTCTATCTATTCCTCTCTTAGATTTGTCTTGTTTGCCTCTGTGCAGCCCTGAAAGACCATTTTCGATTCCACGTGTTTTTTGTTTAATCGCAAACTTAAAGTTAGCACATAGAAAGTTATTCGTCGTACTACACGAACCGTGCATTACGTTGTTTCTGAGGATGCTTCCCTCAAACGGGTTTTCGTTTGATATCTTTCATCTTGAATCATCATCACTACTTAACCTTTATTTGGCTATTTGGCACTCTTTACATCAGTTTAGACGCAGGCTGCGCCAACCTGCCTGTCAGGGTGAGCCCAAGTTAAGAAGGATACAGTATCCCAGCAGACAGACAGAGAAACTTGGTATGTGCGAAGTTAATCGAACTCTTGTCGATTGCGTGACACACTGAAGAGTTTAAACATTACCCTTTAGCAACCATCTCACGTGTCAGTTTGATGATGATAGTTCCTGCAACTTGCAGTTCTACATTCTGCACAAAAAAGTAGGCGGAAAAAAATAGTATTTATTGTACTTAACCTTAGGTGTAAAGTCGAAAGTCAACTTAAAAAGAGGACCTGCACGTCTCTCGACAATTAAGTAACATGCACGATAGCCTATACCGAAATAGTCTTCAAGTTTGTCTCGTTTTTGTTTGTTTTTATTTATTTTAAAACAAAGTTTTGTTTTTTATGGGGGGGGGGTTCGAGGGAGATACATACACACATACAGAAATACATGTATACAATACATACAATATATGTGAGGCGTGCAGACAAAATGAGTTACTTCTCATTATCTACTAATGGAGATATTGACCAAAAATCGACTTTAGGGTCAAATTTGTAGATTTTCTATTGATGACATATTCTCTAACTATAACCTGTCTTTTATTATTTCGTACTTATTAGTTGTAAAAGCTTCACCTATAAACATGATTTATCTATTTCCTTAAGGCTTGAATCCGAGAAGTAACTCATTTTGTTAGCACGCTTCACATATATTGTTTGTTTTAGTAGAGGTTTTACGGCGCTCGCAACTGCATGGTCATATGAGCGCCAGAAGATTAGAGGTGTTACAAGAGAGTAACAAACACAAAAAAGAAGAAGGGGAGATAAGGACGACAGATATTTGATAGGAAAGAAGAAGCAAACCACACCAGAGCACCCGCCAACCACCCATATATATAATTTATATATATATATATATATATATATATATATATATATATATATATATATACATTAGATATATATATATGTGTGTGTGTGTGTGTGTGTGTGTGTGTGTGTGTGTGTGTGTGTGTGTGTGTGTGTGTGTGTGTGTGTGTGTGTGTGTGTGTGTGTGTGTATAATATTGTATGGCTCTTTTCGTCTATGCAGGCGGTCAATTTAGCTTAAGATGGTCTCAAGGTTGTCTTCATGCAGCTTCTTTCATGGCTAATTATTCCTATTTTGGAAGCGCAGATTCTGTCGCAGTGCTTGCATATCAGTGTCGTAGATCGAAGCTCTGTATTTCCGCTGTTTTCCCCTTCGTCATTGGCGCTACTCAGTCTGGTTGTTTCTAAGGCTGTTCTCTAGCATTTTAGTTCTTTCCTTAATAATTTTCCTCCATGTTTTCCGGTCCTCAGCTATTTCTTCCCAGATGTTAACATCTACTCCAACCTTAGATAAGCTGTTTTTGCAGGTGTCTTTGTACCTCAATTTTGGTCTTCCTCTTTGTCTCTTTCCCTGGGCAAGTTCTTCATAGAGAAGTTGCTTCGGAATCCGGTTGTCATCCATTCTCTTGACATGGCCAAGCCATTTCAATCTTTTTAAACACAGGATAGTTGTCATGCTCTGGAGGTTTGCCCGTGCCAACACTTCAACATTTGTAACCTTGTCACGCCACGAAATGCCTAAGATCTTGCGGCAGCATCTGAGATGGAAAATGTCGAGGCGCTTTTCTTGTCTGCTGTACAAGGTCCATGTTTCAGATCCATAAAGGAGTGTGCTGAGGACACATGCTTCGTAAATCTTGATCTTTGTTTTGATGGTTAATCTTTTGTTTTCCCATGCTCGTTTTGTCAACCTGCCAAAAGTTGTTGCTGCTTTCCCTATCCTGATGTTGATCTCATAATCAAATGATGTTGTCGAGCTGATGGTAGACCCCAGGTAACAGAACTTGTCCACTGTCTTAAGTTCCTTGTCGTTCAGCCATATATGGCTCTGCTCTGCACCTTCTTGGGTAAGGATGACTATTTTCTTAACACTGATGACCAAGCTAAAGACCTTGCATGCTGTTGATAGACGGTCCATCATTGTTTGGAGGGTTGATTCACTGTGAGCAACAAGAGCAGCATCATCGGCGAAAAGAAGGTCTCGTACTGTTGTTTTGTTGATCTTGGTCTTGGCCTTGAGTCGAGCAAGATTGAATAGCGACCCATCAGTTCTCCAGTGGAGGAAGACATCCCTGGTGACTCTTTAAATGCATGTTGCAGTAAGACAGCAAAATAAGTGCTCAAAAGGGTTGGTGCTAAGACACAACCTTGCTCTACTCCGCTATTGATGTTGAAACTGTTTGATGTTGAACTGTCAAACTAAATGGTGGCCTTCATATCTTCGTGGAATGAGATGATGAGCTGTAGCAGTATTGGGGAACAGCAAATTTTTCCAAGCACCATGTACAGTCCTGATCTACTGACTGTATCAAAAGCCTTTGTCAGATCGACGAACGTAGTATGTAATGGCAGTCGTTGCTCCCTGCATTTTTCTTGTAGCTGACGAATAGCAAAGATCATGTCCATTGTTGAGCGGTTTGATCTGAAACCGCATTGGCTCTCTGGTAGGACTCTTTCTGCTAGTTTCTGAAGTCGCTTCAGGATGATCCTAGCGAAAGCTTTTCCAGTGATGCTTAGCAGCGAGATACCTCTGTAGTTGTTGCAATCTCCTTTGTCCCTTTTGTTTTAGTAGAGTGTGGTGATTTTGGCATTTCTCATGTCATGTGGAATTTCTGCTTTCAGCCAACAAGTCGTTAGTAGCTTGTAGAGATATGGGAGGAGGGTCTTTTTGTTCTCTTTCAGCACTTCAGCAGATATGTTGTCATTTCCTGCTGCTTTTCTGCAAGCGAGTTCATCGATTGCAGAGGAAAGCTCTTCTTCTGTTCGTGTTGTATCAAGTTCTGACATTTCAGAGAGCTGAGGAATGGCCCCATGAAGCTGTCTATCAACATGTCGCTCCTCTGGGTATAAGTCTGAATAATGTTCCACCCATCTTTCCAGTTGTTTCTTCTTGTCTGTCAGCTGTTTACCTGTCGCAGACTTTAGAGGTGCCACTTTGTTTGCTGTTGGTCCAATAGCAACTCTGATGTTTTCATACATTTTTCTGATATTACCTGTATCGCTGGCCTGTTGAATTTCTGAGCATAACTTGTCCCAGTACTGATTGGCACACTTTCTGGTTTCTCTTTGAAGGTTGGATTTAGCAGCAAGTAGTTGTTGACTTGTACTCTCAGTTGGTTTTGTGTTGTGTTCTATCAGAATCTTACTCTTTTTCTGGAGTAGAGGTGCGAGTGTTGATGCACTGGCCTCAACCCAGTCCTCCTTGTAAGGTCTTTCTATTCCAAAAGTAATCGACGCAGAATTATAAATTGTTGATCACATGCTATTCCACATGCTGTCTGGGGATGAGCTATCTAGACGTTGGAGCTCTTCTTTAACATGTTCTTGAAATTTTGCCTTTAATGCTGGGTCTTTGGTATTTCTTATGTTGATCTTAGGTTTCTTTTGTTTTTCAGCTCTCGGTGTTTTCTTTGCGACTATCTTTGCCTTAGCTATAACTAAAAGGTGGTCTGTGTTGCAGTCTGC